CAGACAATGCCGGTCCTCTGTTCCTCTGTGAAATGTTGGCAGCAAAGTGTTGATTTCCATATAGAATAATATCAATCTATCAGTAATAATATTTTCTAATAAGAAATATAAATAAATGACCATCCCATTTTTTCCCACCTAGTTACGGCCAGAGTTATGTTTGACAAGATTCCAATGAGCAGTTAAAATGAGGTTACCAGTTTTCAGCAACAAGTTAATTAAGAAAATATATGCTCTAATTTAATTCAAATGGATGCACACTAGGGTGTCGCTTGGGAAAACATCCGACATTTTACAACACAACTACTGGTTCTCCGAAAAATGACTCTGAGAAACCAGTGCAGAAATCCTATACTAATGACGTGTCAAAATTCTGATCTGGGTAGTGCTTCTGATTAGTTGAAAGTTTCCTTCAATGGACAGTAACACGTCATCAGTATGGAATTTCTGTGCTGGTTCCTCAGGTGTCATTTCACAGGGAAGCCAGTGGCGATGTCGCAAAATGTTGACTGTTTTCTCTGGCTAACTGAGGTGTAAAAATCCTTTAAATTTGCTAATAAAAAGATACATTCAGAAATTTTCTATGAAAAAAAATAACGAACCTTACACTGAAAAACATGATAACCTCAATTTATGCGAGAAAGAAACATACCCTTTGACAAAAATTTTCTGCTTCATTTCAGAACCCCAAAAGGGATTAAAAAAAACATGCCCTTCGGTGTTCCTGCACATACCTATACGGAGGAGCTACAACCCTGTCTTACTGGACTTTTTCAGGGAAATGAAAGATATCTCAAAAATTAAACATAACTATCAGAATAGCTTAAGTATAAGTTATTGGTGCTTTTGACAGCCATCAGCTTACTAATTATTAAACTGGTACCCAGGAAACAGGAAATATATCACTCTGATTAACTGGTTAAATAATTTGATGGTCAATGTTTTGTGCTTCTTGGTGCCAATTAGCTAATTGTAGATTATTTACGCCTATCGGAAATTGCCCCACAATTCTTTTCCTTAGTTCTCTTCCTATTTGTGATTGGAACTTCACACATAAGATTTTAAGCTCGTGCTTTAAAATCGTAATATAGCTACAGTGCTGTTTCGTCTCCTAGGTTGACCCTAGTACCAAATGGTGGTTAATTTTTTACTCTTTCGCAGCTTAACTCGTCAATCACGTAGAAAAATGAGGAAACTATCAAAAGCTATAATAATAAGGCGACGGTGCTTGCACTGTGCCTTCAAAAAACTGATATCAAAATTTCACGACTTGTTAGTTTGTTTCACTCAATTTTAATATGGCCTATCAATATTTTCAGCAATTCATTACGCCTAATCGAAAATTTATGAAATCCTGCTTATAAGATAGACCTGTTAAACTTCTATCACCGACACTCAAAGCAAATTTGATGAAATTAATCGCTAGTTGTCAAAAAATCTGTAAACTGACTGTTCACGGGCTGTTGGCCAACTGCCCGCTGCCTCACAGTCAGTTAACAAATTACCCTGTTATGAACAAGGTTATAATGATGATAACTTTTGTATCAAGCTAATAATTCATTGTGTTTATGTGCTATAAAGTAAACAAACCCACTGCTCTGTGGAATCTTGTAATAAAAGATTTAAAATCTTAAATAAATACTCCTTGGTTGTACAAACAAGTTGCTTGGAATAGTTTGCCAATTTAAGACCAAACCTTCATTCCTTCATATAATTTTATATTGTAGAGATCCCGCTATTGAAATAGCCCTCTTGGCCCTATGTAAAAAAGCTGATAAATGATTTTTCACCAAAGACTTCTGTTTGCACAATGGTGGCACACACACTGGAATAATTATATTTATTATTACTCTGAGGCAATCAGTGCATTACTTTCAATTTGTCATGTGACTGAAAAAGTGTCTAGACGTAAAATTATAGACTTCATAAAAGATTTTTTAAAGTTTTTGCCTACCCTGAACAAAGCTAACGTTTCTGGATATCTCAGTCAATTTTCTAGGTACCCTTAAAATTGTAAATGGAAAATGATTTAATTTCTGACATTTTCACTGTTTCCCAGAAAATCACCCCAGACACTAAAGATCTCATAGACCTTTTAGAATCTGCCAAAAAGCTGTGAAAAACACCCTAAAGATTTTGTAGATATTGAAACCCCTAAACTAAGATAAAGTTTTCCTTTTCAGTCATACAACAATTGAGTAATTTAATGATTCCTTGTCATGCTATGTTTATTTAAATTGCTTAGTCTTGTGTATTTGGAAAATTTTGAGTGAATGGGGGTTGTGGAACAACAGCTGGGTGAAAAACCTCCCCGTACGTCCACTTGCTCCTAGGAGGAAAACCCCGGGCCAGCTGTACCCCGCATTCCGACCTCCCGGGCAGGGTCAGAAATTTTGTATCATTGAATTTATCGTCAAAAAAAAAGTAGGAAAACCGAATACTACCATTATTTTAAGATGCAGACAATGTAATTAAACTAAGATAAAAATATCAATTCGTCAGTAATCTACAAAATTTAAAATATCATGCAATACAAACCCGGGCAATGCAAGCCTCTTCACTATCCACAACCCAACTCTTGCACCAGGGGGAAATCAGATGAATTCCAACCAGTTGTCCTGCTTGCCCTCATGCCATTCTCTCCATTATTTACTGTGAGTGAGTGTCTTGTAACAAGCACAATTACCCTGAAGTGATTGCCAGCAGGGGTTTGGGACTTGATACCAGGGACCTGAGCGTGGCGATGGCAAATCGTGATGTCCTCCAGCCTGATGATTGATGTTACCCTTAAGTGAGTCTCCCAGTCTTGTAGATTCGTCCTGTTGACAAGAAAAAGTTCATTTTACATTATTTTTATGACTGGGTAACTGCTTTTGATCTACAAAGTACCAAAAGATGGAATGTTAAGTAACAGGCAAAGACTTAGGTTAATCCACAAGTTAATTGTGAAGGGTAAAATCAATTCAGAGCTTTTGTTTTGCTTATTAAAGCTGTTGCATAATTTTTACAACTTGTTTTCTTGTTTCCCTCATCTACATCGTGGTAGCTCGAGCTTGCTAGTAGTTACCTCACAAAACAATAATAATTATTCTTGATTTGTTTTGATTTCATTGAAAAACTGATGATTTGATGGAAAAGGAGAAAGGTAGACCCATAGAGAGGCTCAATAGTGTAATGCTTCCTTAATTCTTACAATTATTAGCTATGTGCTTGTTAAAGAAATGGTGTTCAAAAATAATTGTCTTTTTCACTATACTAACCAATAAACTAACTGATCCTTGGATTAATGGATTGATTGATGGGCTGACTGACTGTTTGATTGACTGATTGATTTCCTGACTGACTGAATGTTTAATTGATTGATTAATTCATTAACTGTGAGTCTGACCGATTCAATAATGCTCTCCTTGCTGAGTATCTGAATGACAGTATTATTGATGGAATGAACATCATGATTGACTGACTGTTTCATTGATTGATTGACTAAACATTTGTAACAGACTGATTTATGTTTGACTGAGTGACTGACAAAAAGTGTGAAAGTTTCATTAACTGACTGTTTGATTGGTTGGCTGACTCATGGCTGTTTACAAGAATACCTGTTGTACTGACTGACTGACTAATATGATTGATAAGAAACTAACTGCATGACGATCTTTAATACTGTTTGAATGATTGACTATTTTATTAGCTTACTGACTAATTAAGTCTGCCTGGTTGATGGATTGACTGATTGAGGGACTGATTGACCGATTGATTGACTGGCTGGGAGTTAACTTAAGGATGTTCAGTTGAGCTTGGAGCTGCTACTCTTCCCAGATTATCGAGTAACATGATAAACTTAGGGTTTAAAATTCACCTTTACTGCTGTAAGGGACTTTGCTCTTGACTTGACCACCAAACGGTTGTTGTTATCTTGTCATGATCTCCATGGTAAAGATCCCATGCTTCATAACCCCAACTTGCAAACGCCATACTCTGAGAACTTGTTTTCCTTTTGAAAAATTATGGTATAACAGCATAAATATTACGACATTAAATAACTCCATCAATATGTAATAATAAGAGATTGAGTTTTATTTCTTTTCTTTTTCAGGGTGTTGTTGCGTCCCTTGAAGTGAACAAAAAGGGACCATAAGATACACTGTTTCTGCTAGCGGGTATGGGTAGGTGAGCATATTTGCAACACGGTTAAACAAAAGGCGACCATGATTTGCCAGATGTGATAATAGAATCACCTTTCTTCTTTGCGATTTTCTGAAGACTTCTACAATCTCGGCATTTTTTTGTGTGCCACAGTTAGGGACAAAGTCAGCATTAAGCGCCTTTTGGATCAATATTTTTTGGGAAATGGAATTGAATTTTCTTCACTAGAAAAATGCATATCACAGAAGCTTGTGAAGCTCAGGGGAGTGCATGCTTCTCGGGTTTCTTCTACCATATGTCAGAAGAGTCGGAAATGGCCCATGGATGCCAAGCCTTACGTTCAAAGTTTTATTGGCAGTAACAAGTAGGACACAAAGTCAACATCAAGCTCCTTTCTGGGTCATTTTGGGGGAAATTGAATCAACTATTTGTTGTTTTTTTGGGTCACCTTCTGTCAGGTGTCAATTACTAGGAAATGCCAAGCCAACATGAGTAGCAGCCAGGGATCAATAATCACCAATTTTCAAAATGGTATCTCTCAATATATTAATTACATTTATTATATAGATACTGATGAAATACCAGGATTTTTCCTTTTACTAAAAAATCATATCTTCATCTCGTGCAGTGAAAATACTATTTTTATCTTTCACGTGTGAGGATATTAGTGTCGCCATGGTTACTAACATGATTAGCCAATTACAAGAGAGCTTCCCGCTAAAAAAAGTTGTGTTTTATGTAGGAATTTCACCAGTATCTATAAAATAGACAGAACATTACATGGCCGCTTGGGGATACGAATTTTATCTTCTCGTGCTGAAAGTATCTCTCACTCGTTTGCTTCCCTCGCTCGTAAGATAAAAATCGTATCCCCGCGCGGCCATGTAATATCCTCTGTGTATTGCACCATAAGAAAGTCAAAACAAATCATAATGCATGCCTTTAGGGACTGCTACTGGCAAATGATATTATAACAGGTAAATAAATGGTATAGTCTATTAGAATTGGGGCGAAAGACAAATGAAATTATTCCCTAATGTCACTCGTCACCGTTTGGTTACATGCAACTCATCATCATTTGACCTACCTGACCAACACCCAACGAATAATCTTGCTGATTTTTGGTGCTGCTTTGAACGAAATCCTAGCCAGCTTCTCCAGCGAATCTTTGTTATTGCTACTGCCAGGATACACATCAAACTTTACCACTCCAACAGCTTATGATCAATGCCATCCACCACCTGGCTGTTTTGGTTTTGAGTAGTCCCCTTGTCCAGCCTCTCCATGCTTAGTTAAATATGCCTTGAGCTTGTTGTTGAAACACATTCTTGGTAACATTACAGACCTCTAGTCCAGCATCCCTGCAGTTTCTATAGTGGGTACCATGCCATACCACACCAGGAGCTGTACGTGTTTACAATTAACATCCTATCACATGGGGTGATTGACGATGAATCCTCAGCAAAAGCTGTTGTCCCTAAGTCCAAACTCTCCAATAAATTCATGTTCAGTTAATCATCTACATCAACCTACCAGGATGGAAGCAAACACCTGTACATGTCCAGGAACCACATGTTGATTCAGCCTTTATATCAATGCTACAATGAAATCTTCAGAACAACAAATTTTTCCAGGATCCATAGCAAACCATACATGTCGTACCATGACACCATACCACTGTTTCACCATTATCATATCACTGACGTTGTTGTCCATTACTGTTCTGTCCTGGCTCTGAGGAAAAAATAAGATAATTAAAGTCTAGTCACTTTCATAATTTTCTATATATTCAATATTATAACAATAAAAGAGAGGGAACTGTACCCTGCACCCATCCAGCTATGAACTTGCAGAGGAATGGAAATTTGGTCCAAAAATAACAGTCTCACAAAATTTTAGTTACATTCGAAAAGTCTTCCCATCTGCTTTTAACTGTTTGTTGGTAACATAGTCCTGGGCTTTTGCATGAAGCCAGCTGGCTGTCATGATTATTCTTTTAAGGCTAAGGATGTCTTGAGGTTTCAATTTGATCCGGGGCAGCCCCGTGATTCGATTACCATTTGCATAAATGGCAGTTTCTTCACACTGTCAAAAATAGAACTCCGATTATTATATGAAATGATACTATACAACTATCACCCGAAGGGGAGGTGAATAGTGGTTTATGGATACCGAGACATGAATTGTCGAGGTATATTTCTAGCACTGTTCACCAACCCTGAGGGGGATAGTTATTTTAGTATTTACCAAATCAGTTGGATAAAAATGAAAAAAAGTAACTTTTTTGTAAATTAAAAACGTCACTTAGTAGCAATTTACAAACATTTCGGGGATTTTGTCAAGTACGTTATTACGTTTGGTACGTTATTGTGGAATTGCACACATTTTAGGCATCCTACTGATGAACAGTTTCGGCACGTAGATATATATTTTTTAGCAACTAAGATAATTTGCAGTCTGTCTACTTTGAATTGCAATTTTGTTGCAAATTCAGCAAGGAAATAACTTTCTACCTATCAGTAAACACCAAAAAGCTGAAGTTCATCGTTTTCTTGGTATTTGTTTGTACGACTGCTTCATTTAGTGCTCAGTTTTCGTCTTCTGAAATTTCTCAAAACGAGATGCCATCTTGGCTTCGGTAGCAAATCAGTGAATAGCCTGCAAGGATATTCCGAGTTACGGTAGCCAACCAGAACGGGCGAAAATTACTATTCACTGATTTGGTAAATACAAAAGAGGTCTATTCTGAAAATGACTGACTTTGATTACCAATTTGGCTGATTAGCAGTATTAGAGGATAAAACTGATTTGAACTAAACTATTTTTTATTCAGGAGTAAGCTCTTAGTAACGAAAATTCATATAGTTTGTAGGGAGGCTTAATTGATAAAAGGAACCAGAGAAATACGTTTAAAGTTTTCTTTGGTTGTGTCCTCTAAGCCTTACTAGGAAGTTGAATTTTAGTACATCAAAAGGCAGTTAATATCATGATCTGCACCATTTCAAGGTTTTCTTCATTCAGAGGCTGTGTAGACAACCCGTTAATAGGCTGTCAGGAAGCATGCAAAATGATGCAAGAAACTACCCCAGTCATGTTTTGTGACACCGGTCAAATGAACTGTAGGCCTCTCACGACTACGCTCACTGAAGGCGCTGGGCCATACAGTGTCAGAACCACCAAAAATACTCCATTTTCTTTAATTTGCGAAGTGAAAAAAGGGCTCCCGTGCTTCTTGGAAGAAGGTATCATAGAGGACATTACAGAACCTACATTGTCATATACAGTCAACTCTCGCCTTGCGGACACCCCGCTATAACGGACACCCTGATAATACGGACAGACGCTTAATCCGGGCAAAAATGAATTACAGACATTAATTGACTGAAATAAACCCCCGCTATTACGGACTCTCGTTAAAGAGGACATTAACTCAAGGTTTCTACAGTTTCCGCTATGAAGGAAGTTGACTGTACACAGAAGAAATATATTAAATTTATTTCTCACTCTCTTGCAGCCAGTGGCTGAATTGCAGGGAGCAGAGCGGTGAGATTGAACATCAGTATGTAAAGATGCACTGTGCAGCCGATTCAGTTCCCGTTTGATCTCATCTTGCCTACCCAGACCAATGATGGCAACCGTCAAATAGACCATGACACTGCAACTTACATGTCCAACTCTTTTCAAACAAGGCCTGCATGTGTACCATGCAGTAGCATTTCATTGCTTTCCAAGATATTGCTGAAACCTGGGCACTTCTCCTCGTTTGCCTGTTCTGAATTCCCTAGGGCTTGGAAAAAGTCGGTGATTGTACCCCACCTAAAAGACGGTGATCATGAGCTCCCCAATAACAACTGGCTGATCTGTTGCTTCCTGTCCTTTCTAAAGTGGCCGAGAAGATTGCCTTGATTCAATTTAATGACTTCCTGACTAAGCAAGACAAACTTACTCAACATCAGAGCGGGAACTGCAAGAACCATTCTACGGAAACTCTGAGCCTTTTGGTTATTGATCATATCTTCAGGGCTATAGACCAACAGCAATTGACGGCTATGGTCCTTATCGACCTCAGCGAGGCCTTCGACAGTATTTGCCACAGTACACTTCTTCTCAAACTACGCAGCCTAGGCACATCAAGTCAGGCTCTTAAATGGTTCGACAGTTACCTCACGGACCGCAAGCAGTCTACTCGATTAGGCACCTCTCTATCTGATGAGCTTACGATAACACATGGCATGCCTCGAGGCTCCATCTTAGGTCCCATGTTGTTCAACTTATATATAAATGATCTACCCTCCGCAGTAGAGTCCAGCTGTACCGACTCCTACGTCGACGATACTAAGATCTACCGCTTCTTTTCGGCTAAAAACATGAATTCGCGCCTCGTAAAAATGACGAAGACCTACGTCTCATTGCTGGGTGGTGTTGCTCACACCAATTACTGATAAATCCAAGCAAAAACAAACTAATTTTTTTCGGGACAAGGCAGCTCCTAAGCAAGGTATTAGACATCACAGTACCTTTCCTCGACCAAGAACACACTCCGGTATCCTCTGTTAAAGATTTAGGCATTACACTGGACTCATACCTCAACTTAAATCATCATGTAAACACGTTAACATCGTCTCTCCTGTCCATGTTATGTCAGATTAGTAGGGTGAGACACCTGTTTACTAAACCTGTCTTGTCAACTATTTTGAATTCTCTTATTTTTAGTAAACTTTTTCACTGTTCCACTGTCTGGGCAGGCACCTCAAAGCAAAATCTACAGAAGTTACAAGTGCAAAACTTTGCTGCCCGCGTATTAACAGATACTAAAAAGATTGATCACATCTCGCCTGTTCTTCAGGAATTAGGGTGGCCCTCCATCAAAGATGAACCATTAGTCCGTGATACTATCCAAGTATACAAAATTGTTAATGGCCTCGCTCCGTTGTACATGAGTAGTAAACTCAGTAAGCGATCAGATACACACCACTACAACACGAGGAAAAGGGACAATCTAAATCTCCCTCCATGCAGAACAGTTTACCGCGCAACGGTCATTTTACTATCGCGCTGTAATTGCCTGGAACTCTCTGACCGCAAACACCAGAAATAGCCCGTCACTATGTACCTTTAAGACGAGCGTCAAACGCGAATTGCGGGTGCAGACCCCATGTGTTAAATAGTTAATATTTGATTTAGTTTAGATCTCCAAAGAGATAACGTAATTGTACGCGCATAGTTTAGGCTTTTAGTTTTGTACAAAGATTGTAATCAATTTAAGCTTTTTCTTCTTATCCCCTTCTCTATAGCATTTGTAAATTAACTTCAGAATAGCCCTTTGGGAGAGTTAACAAATACTATTGTATTGAATTGTACTTCAAGAATGCCCCACATTCTCCTGGGCATAGATTTTTGGCATTATAGATTTACTGCAATTTTCCCATTTCTTTTATGTATCCTTTTACAGTGTTGTTCTCAAATGTCTAATATTTTTTACATCTTTCACTTAAAAAATCGAAAGAAGACTGACGACTCTTGCGACCATGCCATAGTCCGAGAAAAGAAAAGTAACAATAGAGTGCGCCATTGGAAGACTCGAGTAGACCAGCTCTGATGAGTCAGACTTGTCAGAAGATGAAAATAACGTTCAGCCTCTCTCAGGGTCCCTTGAAATCCCCTCAGAGAGATCAGCACTTACAAGAGTGAAAAGAAGACTTGATGACATTGCTCTTGCAAGGCTCACTCCTAGGGCAAGGGCAAACTTTTTTGCCAAGGAGAGGGCATACTCGTCGGTCAGACAGGCAACGGCCAATCAATAGTCTTAACTGGGCAGGCAGGCCTTCACCTGCCTCTCTGTAAATGCCCTCGTCTGACTATCGATAATAGGCTTTCATGGCAAGAGCACACTAAGAACGTTTGCGACTCTTTTAGCAAGAAAGTTGCGGTGTTGAAACGGATCAGAGAAGGAACGACTCCCTTCCCACAATGCATTGTAATACCAAGTATATTTTCACGTTCTTTCGTGACGTCAGCAGTTCATGCCAGCTCTCTTGAGATCAAGATGACGGTAAAAGCGAATCCAAACGCGATGGCCGAGGTTTTTAAAGGTCGGCCGCTTCTCTTTGTTCACTGTGTGTCAGACGAAGATCTGACTTTAATTCCTCTTAAATTTTCCTGCATACAAGTTGTCTGCAGAGAAATCCACGTGAGTTTTACCAAAGAACTGAATGTTCGGCGAGTGGCCTTGACGCCAATAATGGTAAATGGCAAACATATTTCAGAGTTCTTCAATGGGTTGAGAAGTCCAGCGCTCGTGCATGTGGACAGCAGTTGTGACTTTAGGGTGAGTTTTACATTTTAGAAGACTCTCACATGAAATTTTCCCTTCTAATCAAAAACAGCGTTTGCTTGTTCTTGTTCGAGCGTTAGTTAGCTGTCTGGCCTTTCTTTCTGATAAAATCATAAGGTTTCAAGGAGAACGAAGCCCTCAAATGTTTTTCTTCCAGATATAATTTGGCATTCAAGACGTTCAGAAAACTATTCTTGCTGATCTCGATTATATATGTTTGAACGCTGATGATTCACAGTTTCTTCATGTGAGACATTTTTGATGTGAGGAATTGGGTTCATTCATCCCTTTAAAACGAGAGAATGATTACAGTTTTTAAAAATTGTGACTTGATATAATAATTTTGTCGGTGAGGAGGTAGAATTGAATAGGTCTAACTTTCTATAATGTATGTTTCATGTTGAATAGCTGACAAATTACTTGCTGTTTGTTTTATGAAATAGTTCATAGATCCTAAAGATCCCAGAGATGGTGAGACATTTCAAGCCACTTTGCTCTGGAACTACTCAATCATTCCAGCACCAGCCTCACAGCCCGTCCCACCAACTCAGGCACCAAATACAGATGCTGTGGATGATTTTCTTCCACAAGTTGACATCTCCAATGCAGGCCACTGCAACTGTGGGAAAATGCCAAATGCACCTTATTGTCTGGTCTCTTTTTCAACATACCGTGACCCATTGGAAGGTGAAGCTGATAGAGGAGAGGGGGATGACGTGGCAGGATCAGAAAGTGATGAAGAGGAGACAAGTGAGCAGGACAATGAACATAAGGATGATGAAGATAAGACTATGACATATGCAGAAAAATTTAAAGTGGTTGGGTCATCTTTTGAAAGACGCTATCAACAAGCATGGTCTATTTGTGTATTTCTGAGGACACAGAAAAAAGAGCCCCAACTGGACGTAGTCCATGAACGGGACAATATTAAAGACCAGGATGCTCTGGAAACGGATCAAGTTTTTACCAAAGCCTGTCTTGCAAACAATTTATTGCAAAACAATTCTTCCAAGTGTCTTATATGGTTCTGTAGTCTGGGCCTCTTGTTCTCAATCGTTATAGGATGATATTGATCGCATTCATTTAACCAAAATTATTTAGCGTTTACCCAGAGATATCCACAGTGCTGAAGTCAGGAAGTTACCCCTCTGGAACCCCATCATTCAGTTTTATATTAAGAGAATTTTGACAATTAGTTTTAATATCTACAATGATACTTCTATTGATTCTCTTAGAGGATTGATTGTTAAATCTAGGGTTCACTATAATTTCAGGCAGTCTGCAAATATAGAGGTACCTAGGTCTAGAACTGAGATTGGCCGATCACCTTTCATGCACACAGCAGCTTTGTGCTGGAACCTTCCGCCCAATTCATGTAAACGCTCTTCCAGTCTTGGCTATTTCAAGAAATTTTTAAAGGAAAATAATAACTTACGTAATGCTATAAGTTTTGATAAAGCCTCCTGTAGTGTTTCATGTAGGTCTGCAGATTTTAAATATTTTTAGATCATTGTTACTGATGTTAATTTCAACATGTTAGATTCTCTCTTTTTTTAGAATTTAGATTTTAGATTTCAACTTTTATTTTATTGAATGTAAATTTTTAAGTAGCCAGTGCAGGTTCGCATCAGGTCTCTGGTGTTGTCAATTTTTATAACCTGCTTTTAAATAAACCATGTATGTATGTATGTGTACACCAACATCCAGTCAACCGGAACTTCAAGAGCAGCAGCAACTCTATTGTCATCAACTTCTGAATCAAGAGCAGCAGATACCCCATTGTCTACTACTTCAAGAGCAACAGGGACCCCATTGTCCACAAATTCAAGAGCAGTAGCAACCCCACTGTCTACAGCTTCAAGAGCAGTAGCAACCCCATTGTCAACAACCAGGAGAGCGAGTCCAGTTCAGACCTTGACAGCTGCTTCCCGCCTTGCTCGACAGTTTCGACGTCACATGGCACACAACTAGGCAGCACCAAAAGACCAAAAAGAAGGCATTTCGAAGGATCTCTTCATCAGAATTTAAGAGACTGGTCGCAGCAAAACATTTTCTTTTTGAATAACTATATAGATTTCACAAAATGTCTCTGTCTTAACTTTTGAGGTAGTCAAATAGTTTAGTTTAAGAATTAAATGTTACACATATTTTTGTCATGTTTATAACTCACGGTGAAATGAAATATTTCAAGTTTTCTTGAGATTTCAAGCTTTTCCTTGAATTTATAGGAAATGCAACGCCAGCTTTACATGTATGCGTATAAACACTGAATGTTACAGCAAAAATCGGACAAGGTAAACCGTAATGATACTTCTAT